GGGGGGGGGGGGGACATCATAAATGGAACTTTCTGGGCCTCTTTGTAGCAGATACAAAATTTGTGCCTTAAAATGTAATTTTCATAAAAAGCTTTTGCCCTCGCGCTTCTACCTTAAAAAAAAGCTCTCTTTCCCTCCAAATTTCAGAAAAAGGCACAAATAAAAGCCAGTGTTTTCAGTCGAAACGACTTCGTAAAAGACTCAGAATGGCGTCGACGTCCGGCGCTGGCAGTGGCGTAGCTGCCGGAAGAATTAGATCTCATACATCGGCGATATACTCCGACAATCAATCCCTCATCCGTGTATCATACTTGCGCGCGCAACTTTTGAAATTATCTCTAATTTTTTTTCTTTTAGTTGTTAATAGGACTGATTTCGTTTTGTATTACAGGAAATTAGGAAGGCTGTGACTATGATGAAGGATATCGCGGTGGATTTGGAGAGAGATGAGAGAACCGAGATGGTACTTCATGATAAACCCTAGTTATATGTTCAACATTTACTTTTAATTCTCAAATGTTCGCCATCATTCGCGTTGTAATAAGTGCTATGCGCGAGGAAGACATAGTGTTATTGAATTTGAATTTTACCTTAATATCTTACCTTTTACCTTGGTTAGTCTGAATGCTAATAATCAGTAATCTTGTAGTAGGTCTGGTAATTTGTACTTTATCTTAGTCAGTCCGTCCCAGTGACTTGATGTGTTGGTCAAATGAACAAACTTAGGTTCACAAAAAGCTCTTGAAAATAATACTACTAGGCAAGCGCACCTAAGCGTGTGGCCTAGTGTTCAATATAGTGGAAGAAGAACCATGAGGTATTTGGTTCAAATCCCAGCAGAAGCAAAAATCACTTGGTGATTTCTTCCCATCCGCCTGAGCCAGAGTTACTCTAAGCTCGTGTTGGTGGGAGGTAGTTGCTACCAGTGGAGTAGTCGAGATGCATGCAAGCTGGTCCGAACACTACCATCATAAAAAATTAATACTTAGACAAGCATTTCTGTTACGAAAAATTGATAATATTACAATTTGGTGTGTTAAAACAACTTTTCTTTGACTACACAATTTCAAACATTTTTAAGTATGGAAGTGCTCTCTGTGTCGTTTATTGTAAAAGTTTATTTAAAAGAAGCTTAAGAAATCCATGTTGGAACTCACATGTGTCAGCACTCATACTGCAAATCTCACAATCTTTTGGGGAGGGGGTAAAATTCTAGCAAACCATTTAAGTTTTGCTGGAAAAGACCAAATAGGCTGAGATAAATTTGTTCTTAAAAATATTTATGTTGTTATTGAAAGCCAAAGATGGAAAGTTGAACTGGGTGAAAGGATTACTTCAAATATTTGTTGCATGAAATGTTAACTAATTGTGGGCTCGTGCATCTTGTGTCTTGATATTCTTGTGGATTCCCCTTCCTTCTGTTTAGTTATTTGTTCACAACTTCACATTATAAGTTTAAACAAGCAGTTAGTATTACCAACCATTTATATACGTCACACTTGTGTTTAGTTTTTGATGATAATCATTAATATACACAGTCCATTGTGTTTCTTTTGGTACCGGTGTAATCTGCAATACTAACTGAAAGTTTCGTTAGAAATTGAAGAAAATACTGGTTGAACTAAGTTAATTTGAAGGTTATGGATATCCTAACTACCTGAGGAAAAACTCATTGTAGTACTCCATTCCACCTATCAGAATGTGATGATTGATGACAGAGCCACAATACTAGTTTTCTCAGAATGTTTTGGTGAATTATATGTTCTTAATACAGACAACTAGCAGATGCTGTAGTATAATGTCAATGTTGATGTTAACAAACAAAAAAAGTGATTTTAAATATTGTTCATTAGGAAACCTTACAATTTCTTTCTTGATGGATTGTAGATGAGGTTGTCTTATACTGTTGCAGGTAAAGGATCTCGAAGCTGGCGTTATTCAGTTGTTGGGTGCGTCTGATGAGTGCATGCATCTTTCCGAGGCAATTCAGTCTATAGGTGATGAATTAGAGCCT